GGTTGCCCAGGCTAGGGCGGGAACAGCATTCTAGATGAGAGAACAGAGAGCTCGGAGGGCCAGGGCTTGGCGTGTGCATGTTTGTTTGGAGTTGGCTGCAGTTGGAGGGTGTGGGTGGAGGTGGTATAGGGGAGACTGAGCACAGAGTGGCAGGTGGGGCCTGTTGGAGAGGCTCACACCCTAGCCCCTGGACTCTCTGTCTGCCCTGGGAGCGTGGGAGAACCTGAGGAGGAGTTAGGGAAGGACACCATGGAGGCCAGCCTGGAGAAGGAGAGGAGAGGGTTGCAGCTCCCAGGAGGGTCATGGCCGTCGAGACGGAGTCGGGCAGACAGATAAGCAAAGAGCCAGGAACCAGTGCCCATAGGATCCAGGGTCTGGGGAGAGGACTGAGCCAGATCGTAGCCAGCACTGCCTTGGGCAAGAGGGCAGTAAGGACTGGGGAAGGTGACCAGCTCACTTGGAATGTATGAAGGGGAAGTGGCTGCAGGCAGCTGCCCGGCAGGCACTGGGGCTGCCATCGTGAGGGTAGGGGTGCCCCACCCAGTGACAACACGAGAGCAGAGAGTCAAGGATTGCAGGTGGGACTGGGCGGGGGAGTGGCAGCCTTCCCAGGACCCAGGATTTAGGGCTGACCTCTGAGCTGTGCCCAGGCAGTTCCTTCAGAACCTTGCTGGACCTGAGGGTGGCCTGGGGCAGGTGAGATTCCTCCCCAGGCCCAGGCTTCCTGATCAATTACTGTAATGCTGCCGGCCTTCAGGTTTTGAGGCGAGTTTTGCTAGTTTTGAGATTCTCACATATGGAGGTGGAGGGGGGGAGAGGGCAGATGCGGCAGGGGTGGAGGTGGAGAGGGTCTGTCCTGTTTCACACGTTCTCAACTCCAAGACCATGAGTCACATACTCCCCTGGGATGGGGAGGGGATGCTGAGGGTTGCTCCAGGCCACAGTCCTCCCCTTCACCCCTCCCTCGGGGTCTGTGGCTCCTACCTCCATCCTGGGGACCTGGGGAAGCGTCAGAGGCATCCCTGGAGTGACCCCGAGCCCTCCCTCTACTATCAACCACCTTCGCTCTCAAGGACAAGGCTGGAAAGACCCTTTGGGGCCCTAATTTGGGAACTGAAGACACTGCCTTGGGACATGGGACCTGGATCTGTAGCTGCAGGCCAGGCAGGCCAGACGGGCCACGACGGAGGCTCTGGTTGAAACAGAGTCTGTGAAAAGTCCCCAGCCTGGAAAGCTGGAAACTGTGACTGGCCCACAGAAACATAAATAATGGAAAATGTGCATTGGTCCTTAGCGAGGTCTGCCGCAGCTGGTGCCAGAGTGGGTGGACGAGGCCCCGCTCAGCTGTCTGACACCATCCCTGCCCACTGAGCTCCCTTAAGAACCCTGCAGGACCCTCCAAACTTGAAGGGGCACCAGTCCCTTGCAGGCCCAAGAGGACACAGACCTGGACAGGCCTTCCTATACCCTTGGCAGAGCACAAGCATCTTGTCATCTCTAAAGCGCTTTGCAGATGTCAGTGAACATCACAAGCTGGAGAAAACAGTGTGTCCAGAATCAGGCAAAAGAGGCTCTGCGGTGGGGGACCTGAGGTGTCTCCCCTCAATGATACAGAGCTTAGTTATACTGCATGATGGGAAATCAGAGTAGCCCCCATGTTGGAGTCCCCAGGTCATTCCATTTGGTCCCCACTTGATGCTGGGAGGAAAGCCCACTTTATATAGAAAAAGAAACTGAGGTTCAGAGTGGCCCCCATGTTGGGGTCCCCAGGTCATTTCTTTTGGTCCCTACCTGATGCTGGGAGGAAAGCCCACTTCATGGAGGAGGAAACCGAGGTTCAGAGGCTACTGGGCCATTGGAGTAGCCTGGCCTCCTGAGCCAGGACATCCCCCTGCCCCCACTTGCCCCCACTTGCCCCTCATCACTCCTGGGGTCTGCATGTTCAAGCTGGATATCCCTTTCCCTGAACATGACTGTGTCTCTCCCTTGAACAGCATCAAAGAAAAACTTATGACTCAGGCAGACCGCTTCAGTGAGGAGGAGGTAAATTGGGATTTTGGTGGATCACAGCGGATTCTCTGCTCTGGCTGCCACCTGGCCTGGTGCAGGCTGACTTTCTGCTCCTTCCTAGGTCAAGCAGATGTTTGCAGCGTTCCCCCCAGATGTGTGCGGCAACCTGGACTACAGAAACCTGTGCTACGTCATCACTCATGGTGAAGAGAAGGATTAGGGGATCACGAGTCTCCCCGGCGTTCAGGGGCAGCAAACACTGTTGCAGGGTGTGACAGGGAGCTCTTGCAGCCGGCGGGTACAGGAAAAAGTGTTCCCTTGTCTATGGTTGGGGACAAAGCAAGAATAAATAATGCTAACGAGGTCTGAGTTTGTGCGGTAAATGCTCCAGTGAGGGAGAAAACGAAACATTCCTATCTTGTTGGTTTTTCCAAAACTTTTTTGTTTCTCTGGCTCTGCTCAAATGTTCCCGAGGAGCTGGTGTTTAGAGCTAATTGACAGTTTTAACGATTCCCAGCTAAGCCACAGGATATTGCCTTCATTTATGGAGCTTTTATTAAGCACCTAGTGCGTGCCAGAGGCTGTGCTGGTCCCAGGGATTCTCAGAAGAGCCAGGACTGTCCCTGGGCAGGAAGATGCTGCTGACTGCAGTGAGGGAGGCAGAGGAGGGGGCAAAAAGTGGGGTGGGGACATCGGTGGGAGGAGAACGGAGAAGCACGGGAGAAAACTGGCCGCAAAGAGCTGGCTAGAGGCGAAGACGTCAGAAGGGAAGAGGTGGCTTCAAGGGATGTTTGGGGGTAGGCAAGGATTTCTTAAATGGGACACACATAGCTCTGACCATAAAAGTGGATACATTGGACTTCATCAAAATTAAAAACTTCTGGTCACCAAAAGATACAATTAAGAAAGAAAAAAGGCACTGGGCCAGGAAACATACCGGCAACACATACATCGTGACAAGGATCTCATATCCACAGGATATATATATTTTTAAATCCTTCATATCTATAATAGAAAGATTATAACCCCAAAAAAGGTAGATGACAAGAATAATATTCAAATGGCCATAACGATCTGAAAAGAGGCCGGGCACAGTGGCTCAGACCTGTAGTCTCAGAACTTTGGGAGGCCGAGGCAGGAGGATTGCTTGATGCCAGGAGTTTGAGACCAGTCCAGCAACATAGCAAGACCCCATCTCTACAAAAAAAATAAAAATAAAAATAAAATAAAAATTAGCCTGGCATGGTGGTGCACGCCCATAGTCCCAGCTACTCAGGAGGCTGAGGTGGGAGGATCACTTGAGCCCAGGAGTTGGAGGCTGCAGTGAGCTGTGATCACACCACCGCACTCCAGCCTGGACGACAGCGAGACCCTGTCTGAATAAATAAATAATAGGGCACTCATACATGGGAATAGTACATGGCAATAAGAATAAACTATTGATGTACACAACAGCTTGGCTGATTGCTCATATGTACTATGTTATATGGAAAAAGAGGCAAAAGAGTGCACACTTAAAAAAAAAACTTTTTTTTATTGAGATACAATTCACATACCATAAAACCCACTTTTTTTTTTAAAGACAGTCTCACTCTGTTGCCCAAGTTGGAGTG